TCGAACTGAGTGCCCCAGTGAAATATCGCAATCCGATATTAGTGGAACCCAGCTTATCAGATTTGAACGAACCCCCAGCTAATGTGTTGAACCCGCCCAAAACACAGTAAGTTAAGCTTAATAGTGAAATCATAGATTATTAATTATATTTAAATAATTTATCATTTTATTTGATCTTTAATATTGTTTATTATTAAGGCGATTTATCAATCAAATTTATAATTTTTCGTTAAACTTTTCAGAATGATACCGATTTCGCCGCCGAAATTATTAGTATCGAAATCATCGACCGTTGTATCACCTGTATCTACTGCTAGCAGTAAAGATGACACACTTGAGCGTAACATCTTGTCCATGGCCAGTATGGATTTACCCACTGCGATACAGTCCATGAATGTAATAGAAAACGTTTGTATTTTTCTCTTGACGTTCGAATGTGTTAAAAGTATTCGAAATTTTCGAAAAATATTCTGTATAGCTTTTGAACATCGTAATTATTTTCTCAAAATCATATCTTTGGCACGGGAATGCAATTAAAATTAGCACTTTCTACGCATTTATTTTATTTTTTTGGTTTACGGAAGAAATCAATGTTACATTTAAAAAAATAAGCTTTTTAAAAATCGCAAAATTTTTCTGTATTCCTACGTAATATATGTATAAATATCTATTAGTATTTTTTTATATTACAGTTATTAAAATCTCACCAAGCAGTTACCTTGCAATCCAAGGAGGATAAATTTATCGGATCGATAAATATGCAATTAAAGCTATTGCAAACGTATCCGTTACGTCAAGAAAACGCGGATGTGTCCAGGGGCTTTAGAAACACATTTCTGGTTATACTTGTGGTGCAATTTAGAAAGAAACATGTCATTAATTCATAGATTGCATATTTCAATAAACGATTTAATATACATTAAAGGAAACAAGAACTGAAATTTAATTTTTGACAAAGCATATGATAAGAAATTTTAATACAAGGTTTAAATTAGGCTTGCATAAAAAATTTTAATTAGCGATTTAAAAAAATCTTGAACTTTTTTTATTTACAATTTTTTTTCCAGTTTTATGACTGTGAATTCCAGTGGATTTCTTGGGAAGAATGTTCCTTTCATGCATTTGAAGGAATTAGTAGATCAGATGATAAGTTTGTTAGCCCAAAACAGGTAGGAGCATTTGCATCAGGCTGCAGCGTATTACAGAGTGATCAATAACATCATGGTGAAAATTATTGACAATTCTAATCATACCACCATTATATGGTACGATTTTAGATGAGAAACAATAACGTGATATTGTTTATTTTAATTTTTTATTTCTATTTTATTACGTTTGTTTTCAGTGTATTGATCAAGCTGCTTCATTCCTGCGCTGAATATACAGAGCTTATCAGATTTCTTTCTCAATCACAGACGCATGAAGCTGTTAAAAAAGACCGATCTATGCTGGAATACAGCGATAACCTAGAAATAGATAGATAGTGACAGTCGTGACCATCGCCGCGTGATAGATAGTGATAGTGAAATATATATTGACGGCAGGGAGCTGATGCCGAGGAGATCTTTAAGAAGGAAGGAGTATCCAAAATCGCACACGTACGTATATATGCTGTCTTGTAAAAGTTAAGAGAACGAGAAAGTGATGCACGTTGTGACAGGCACTATCGCGTAATAAAGATTTCTCCGAAGTATGTTTATATTGTACTTTACTTTTGTTAATTTGGATGTACAATCTCGCGTCTTCAAAATGTAATAATTCTCATTGTCAAACACTGTTGAGGCATAATTGTCTAGCACAAGAGGTCCTCTTGTGCTAGATAATACGAGTTGCTACAGAGTGCCTTTAATTGTAAGAATCTCTTCTCCTTTACCCCCTCTTTCTTTCTCCAATCTCGAATTTACACTATTGTGTGGTTCGTATCGCGTGTCATTACCTATTATAAATGTCCTTTTCTCTCGTTTTCTCACGCAGGAACATTTTATATTCAACTATGTGGTGTACAATTTTGCCGCTATATATTGACCGCAGGAAGGTGATACCGAAGAGATCTTTAAGAAGAAAGGTGTCGGGATTTCGCGTGATATTGTACGGCCCTGCGCCATCGTTTCCCCCCTTTCTATGCTATCTTCCTGACTCGAATCGGAGCGAACTCGACAGACGTTCGGGGCAGTCGTCGTTGTACCATGGTCGCACACAGGCCACATTTTGTAGTAGTCTTTATACAGAATTCGACACAGACGGTATCGTCATTGTAACATGGCCGCACGCGCCGCACATATATTCCTCGTGATAATCGAAATAAACTATAGAGCGGTGTTAATATAATCAAAACGTATTGGCTACTTCTACCTATCATTAAAGTATATAAGAAAAAATAAGTGGTCCAGAGCGTAAAAACTTTGCCACTACAGGGACGACTGTCGTGCGCGCATAAGACGTACGGCGCATCCGTCCCAACATTTCTGGTCCTTCGAGCCGGATCCTTCCGGAAAATCCATGGCGATTCGAATGATATCTATCCAGGCTTGCTCAAGGGTGAGATCACACAAAAATTAAGATATTTAATCGAAAATTGTCAATTCGGCAGCGCTCGTTTTTAATCATATCCGTTGGGACGAGTCGACCGCCGAAATATACGAGAGAGAGAGACAACGACACACAAACTTGATCACGAGGCATACACGAGGCATACTGTAGAGGACAAGGCTTGCGGCTCACGAGAGCGAGAGAGAGACACCACTATAACAAGACAACGAACATAGAAGACAACGTCGAAATCATATCGAAATTCAACTGTATTTATATTTGCGTATTTATATCATTTCAAAGCGTATCTTGTATTTGCGTGTTAACCGAAAGTTCGCTTTTCTTTTTTCATATTTGTCAATTTTAATTACTGACACGATGACCGAGGAGATGCGTGCGCTTGTACAGAGACGTGCGGCAATAAAGGGGCAACTGACTCGATTCAGGAGTTATTTAGAAAAATGGTCTGAGCGTCCGGATGAACAGCAATTGATTGAGCGTTTAGAAAAATTTAAAACTACGTGGGATAGCTTTGACGAGGTACAGACTAGTATTGATTTAAATGATACCGTTACAGGCACACAATTAGATGACAACGAAAGAACGTATTTTGAGGAAGCATATTTTGAACTGGCGGCGCGTGCCCAGCGTCGACTTGCGTCTGTCAGGCCCACCGCGGGTAACGATAATGTAATAATTCAAAACCAGCTTCCTGTACAAAACGTGAAAGCGAATATAAAGCTCCCTACAATTAACTTGTCTACTTTTAGTGGTAATTACGAGGCATGGATGGGTTTTTATGATAATTTCAAATCGATCGTACATGGTAACGAGAACCTTTCTCCTGTTCAGAAACTACAATATTTAAAATCATCGTTGATAGACGAAGCCGCTCAGGTAATTCAATCTCTAGAAACCTCATCACAAAATTACGAAGTAGCATGGGCTCTCGTAGTGGAACGGTACGATAATAATAGAAGAATAATAATACAGAGCCATATTCGCGCGCTGTTTGATCTTCCGGTAATATCTAAGGAATCTTCAACACAATTGAGATCGTTAGTCGATGCCGCTTTAAGACACACGCGAGCACTTCATGCTCTTGGTCAACCGACCGAATCGTGGGACGCATTGCTTTTTCATTTATTGACATCAAAATTCGATCAAAATTCTCATCAAGAATGGGAGCGTTCTCTTGATGGAACCGATATGCCGTCTATATTGATGATTTTTGGAAATTTTTAAAAAATCGCTGTCATGTTTTGGAAAACGTAAGTCAGGAAATCTCGGTTTATTCGAGTCAGTTGAATAACGCGGCGAGAAATCAATTGCGATCGAGCAATATGCGAGGTAATACGAAGCAAACGGCGATGCCGACCCTTGTGACCGTTTACCCTAAATCCGAGTGTACCATTTGTAAACAGAACCATAACATATTTCAATGCGAACAGTTTCGTAGGATGACTCGCGAAGCGAGATTTGCCAAGGTGAAATCCATGGGGCTCTGCTACAATTGTTTAAGACCAAATCATTTGGTTGACGAATGTAAATACGGTACGTGTAGAAAGTGCAAACGTAAGCATCATACCCTTCTTCACTCTGAAGGTGATTCATTTGATCGAGGATCTGGTAGCTCTAATGCGGCAAACGCCAATCCAATCGCAAGTCTCCAAGCGGTCGTCGCTTCGAGAGTTCTTTTGGCCACGGCATCCGTGCGTATGCTCAATGACCGCGGAGAGCCTGTCAAATGTAGAGTCTTGTTGGATAACGGGTCTCAGTCTAACTTTGTTACTGAGAAATTAAGCGGTATTCTGAATCTCACTAAGAGAGAAGTTAATATTCCGGTGTCGGGTTTTAATCAAAGCTTAACGCATATTAAGCATTCTATCGCAACGACTCTTCAGTCAAGGGATGGACGTTTTGCTGCGGAGTTGTTATTCTTGGTGGTCCCTCGAATTACAGAGACACTTCCTGCACAGACGATTAACCGTTGCGATTTAAATCTTCCCCGAAATATCACCTTGGCAGATCCCGCACTCCTTCAAAGATTGACGCTCTTATAAGAGCGGAACTATTTTACCAATTGTTATGCGTGGGTCAGATCAAATTAGGCAATGCGCTGATATTACAAAAAACGCGTCTTGGTTGGATAGCGTCGGGAGCTATACACGATAGGGGGCCTGCGTCAAATCGAATAGCATGTAATTTAGTGGTAGACTCGCTGGATGCCCAGGTCGCTAAATTCTGGGAAATTGAGGAGGTCTCGAGCGTTAGGCGTTTGTCCGATGATGAGAGGGCGTGCAAACAACACTTTTCTCAGACGCACTCGAGGGATGAGAGTGGCCGTTATATAGTTAAGCTTCCGTTTAACAGTAGAAAACGCGAACTGGGCGACTCTTATCAAACAGCAAAAAAAAAGGCTGTATTCACTGGAAAGGAGATTGGCACGGGAATCTAAGTCGTCTACAGACGATTCCGAGTCTCGACATCGAACTCGCGAAACTCATGTTCGACCGTTGGACGCCGTACCGTCGTAAGCGGTGAGATCCCGACGACGGGCAGAGGCGCCGTACGGCAAACCGGGCTCGTGCGACGACCGGCCCGCGAGGGGACCGGCCGCCTAGTAAGTGTGTCACATTGTTTTGAGCCTTTCGACTCACGAGACTTCTAGAGATATCATTGCCACCTTTTACTAGAGAGGATACGGCCTTAGAGGCGTTCAGGCATAATCCCACGGATGGTAGCTTCGCACCACCGGCCGCTCGACCGAGTGCGTGAACCAAATGTCGGATTTCCTTGACGAGTATGAGAGGCTTAGTCACATGACTGAGATCCCTGTCTCCGATGTGGCCGAAGAAGGACATTTTATTCCACATCACCCCGTCTTCAAGCGTGACAGCCATACAACAAAATTGCGAGTTGTTTTCAACGCTTCATCAAAGAGCAGTACTGGCGTTTCGCTCAACGATGTACTTCTCGCTGGTCCGACCCTGCAGGAGGACTTGTTCTCCATCGTCACTCCATCGTTACCATCGAGATTTCGAACCCACCGATATGTACTGAGTGCCGACATTGAGAAAATGTATAGGCAGGTTAAGGTACACCCCGAGGACGGCAAATATCAAATGATTGTATGGCGTAGAAGTACAGAGGATCCGATCAAAATATACATTTTGAACACGGCAACTTATGGTACCGTGCCGGCTTCATTTCTCGTCGTTCGATCGTTGCTGCAGTTGTCTGAGGACGAGCGAAGGCGTTTTCCCCTGGCTTGCAGGGTTCTTCTTGAAGACTTCTACATGGACGATGCTTTCACCGGTGCATCGAAACTGGACCAGGCTCGAGAATTGCGTGATGAGCTTATCGGGTTGCTGGCTTGTGGTGGCTTCCATCTGCGCAAATGGTGTTCAAACGAACCAAGTCTTTTGGAGCCACTACTGGATCAATCCTTGGACCTTCACATTTGTTTGAGCGAGTCTGAAACTCAGAAGACCCTCGGTATTCCCTGGCATCCCCGTGAAGACCATTTAATTCACGTCGTAAAATCGTTTACCGAGCACCAGCGAATGACGAAGAGAACCATGCTTTCCCAGGTTGCCTCACTCTTCGATCCACTTGGACTGGTTGGTCCTGTTATCGTGAAGGTGAAGATTATGCTGCAGCGGCTGTGGGAGGATAAGCTGGATTGGGATGAATCCGTTCCTGTGGACATCGCTACCTCCTGGAGCAAATACAGGGAGCAAGTCGAGCTCCTAAATAACTTCATCGTTCCTCGTCAAGTCACAACAGAGAATGTAATCAATGTCCAGTTACATGGTTTCTGCGATGCAAGCGAAAGGGCTTATGGAGCAGTGCTATATCTGAGATCTACTACTTCTTCGGGGATCCACATTGTTCGGTTGATTTTTTCCAAAACGCGGGTAGCGCCAATCAAGAAAGTAACTTTACCGCGGCTTGAATTGAGCGCGGCGGATCTCCTTGGTAAATTGCGCGGAGCCACTATCAAGTCACTTAGAATTGAGATAGATGAAGAGTTCTTTTGGTCGGACTCTACGATCGCGCTCCATTGGATCCAAACTTCACCACACAAATTGAAGACCTTTGTTGCGAACCGAGTTTCGCACATTCAGGAGAACACGCAGCATGGAAAGTGGAGACACGTGCCGTCTCAGGACAATCCCGCAGATGCGTTGTCAAGAGGACAGTTTTCCCGCGAATTTGTCAACAACCCCATTTAGAAAAGTGGACCGTGTTGGCTATCCAAGGATGAAGCTGCTTGGCCGCTGAATTTAATACCTAGTATTGAAATTCCGGAACAGCGCTCAATTGTTGTCCTGTCAAACGTTCACGGTGTCGATACGGATCTGTTTCTAAGGTTTTCATCCTTTGCTAAGATGAAAAGGGTCATAGCGCGCTGTATACGATTTGCTTCTAAGTGTCGCTCCTTGGAGGTCGCCTCGGGGGATCTCAGCGTCGGGGATTTGGGTGACGCCGAGATGCGTATTATGAGATTAGTCCAACTCTCAGCCTTCGAGAGCGAGCTGCGTAGTTTGCGTGAGAAGCGTCTGTTAGACAAGAAAAATAGGATATTGTCTGTTAGCCCGTTTTTGGATGTCGATGGGGTACTCCGAGTCGGGGGTCGATTGAGACACGCGGATCTGACTTTTGCTCAGAAACATCCTATCTTATTGCCAGCTAACAATCACGTTTTCGAGTTGATAATTCGCGAGACTCATATCAAACTTTGTCATGCCAGAAGTCAGGCGACCTTGTATGCAATTAGAGAAAATTATTGGCTGGTAAACGGAAAAAACCGCGTCAAAGGAATAATCCGAAAATGTGTAGTGTGTTCTCGTTGGCGCCCCTTGACTCCTGAGTATCAAATGGGCGATTTGCCTAGGGTTAGATTTGCAGGCTCGAGACCTTTTGAAAGTGTTGGTATTGATTTCTGCGGCCCATTCTTTATTAAGGAGAAAAAGCATCGTAACCGTAATAAAATTAAGATTTACGTCGCCGTGTTTGTGTGCTTGGCTGTCAAGGCTGTTCATCTGGAAATTGTTAGCGATCTGACCACCGAGGCTTTTATAGCCTGTCTAAAATGGTTTTTCGCACGCCGTGGCAGAGCTCAAGTGATCCAATCGGATAATGGCACAAATTTTCTGGGCACAAGCAATCACTTAAAGGAGATGCAACAAGGACACTGATGCATGTATGTAAAAATTT